TGCAAGGAACTTCCGCCGAACGGAGCGCTCGCGCAATCACGTCGTTGGCGGCCTCATGGCGGGACCAACGTCCCGCACTGCGCCGACAGGAGAGGCCATGGTAGCCTCGCGCAGTTACTTGTGCTCCGCACGGGCACTTGTGGGGTTGGCAGACGTCGCAGCCCAATCGGAGGGAAATTGAGACACGAAACGATTCGTTGGATAGAAGGGTTCCAAGTTGGGGAGATGGAAGGGCATTAAGCCAAGAGCCTGCAAACTTATCCCGCAGGGTACGATAGCGGGCGGTGTCCTCCGGGGTGGTCGCTCCTTGTGTTAACTGGGACAAGGTGATATCCAGAATTGGACGCTCCCACGCCGCCTGAACTCCTCGGATTGTTTCGGCGGGGAGTTCGGCTGGTCCGAGGACGCTCCATCGCTCCTCCCCCTCTATCATGGCGGCGTCGGTGCCATGCAAATCACCTGGAAGCAGACGTTCCATATGGGGCAGGACGCTGTGGACGGACGCAAGAAAACACGGAATCGCCACATCCACAGCGTGCCTAATCCCTAGGCCGCCTTCCTTGACAGGTAGGGACGACTGCATCCAAGCAGCCGCGGAGAGGGAGCAGTTGAGAATTGCCTCGAGAGCGTCCTTCAGGGTGGCGTCGTAGTGAGCCAGGGAATCCAACTTTCTCCAAGTTGGGGCGCTGCGGAGAAAGTAAATAAGGCGGGGAATGGAAATTGATGCCCTAAGCAGGAAGAACGCAGAATGGGTCGAGAGTTGCTGTAGACGTTGGGAAAAATTAGCCAATTGCGCCGTCTTTGCTGCAAAAACAACTTCCATCGCTTCGTTGGTGAGGGGGGCGCCAAGAAGCATAGCACTTTCGGGGGACAATAGTTGAATCCCAGGGGCTACTTTCTGGAATTGTATTAGAATGTCGATGGCGGTGTCTCGATCGGCCCCTAAAATGCCCACCTCGCACTTATCATGATTGAGGTGTAGCCCCACTTCCACACCCATTCTGGAAATGGTCTCCAGAGCCGCCAAAACCTTATCTGGAGAGTCCACCACGGCCCCATCGTCGAGATACCACATATTTAGTTCCGTTTCTAGCACTTCGACGATGGGGTGGATGACTAGGGTAAATAGGGCGGGACCCAAAGGGTCCCCTTGATGGCACCCTAGGAGCGAAGGGATTGGTATTGTCCCGTAAAAAGGCGACGAGGGGTTGGCGTAGCACTGGGACACAAATGGAAAGATTGAGGGAAACCGCTCCCGAACGACATTGAGAAGAGTATCCCGCCGGATTTCATTGAAGGCGTTCCTAAAATCTATCTTAAGGAACGCCTTGGGGGTGTGGTGGTCGTGGTTGAAATAGACCCGGGCGGTGTGGGCACCAATTTCGGCACCACCTTGGACATTTTTAGGATAACATGAGTCGGATTTGGATGGATTGGACATTTTTAGGATAACATGAGTTGGATTTGGATGGATTGGATTTTAGAAAATGACAATCTTAAGACTTAGAATAATGAGTGGAAGAAAGACAAACTAGCAAAGTCCCTGGGAGCATTTTTATCGGGTAAAAAGGGATACATTCTTAAAGTTGAGAACAAGGGCCGTCATATGCAGCAAGTTTCACATTCAACAAGATTCGTCTGTGGGCTACAAAAATTGGGGAAAATTTATACAGCTTCTTGGACCACCCTCGGTATTTGTGGGTTCAACAATTTTATTTTATCTCTATTCCTTCGAAAAATTGACATAATTTAGTCCTGCATATTATGGTTTATAAATGGTATGAAAATAATTTTGAAATATCTACCTGTTCATGAGAAAATTGAATTTGAAATTAAAAGTTGTATATATACTATAGTATATATACTACATTTAGTTATGTGATTCTAATTGAAAGCCTGGTCTATTAAATGAGACTTGGGTCTCCGTGAAATAACGCGTGGCACTTTTTCATTCATAAGTGGTTTTACAAGCTTTTAACCTAACGTAAATTTTCTCTTTTTTGATTTAAATAATCCGAGCATTAGCGCCAATTCCGTAAGATAGACATTTAGCCATTTTGTATATATAGTGGAATTTTTGTGTGGATCACCACTGTTTCATAAATCTCATTCCAACATTCGGCGATATGGACTTACCCTATTGAATAAATTCTGAAAAATCTAAATTTGAAATTCATTCAAGAAATTTAGAATGAAAACTTTATCGAATTATTTTCGTTATGCCCAAGAAACAATGCCCGACATCCTGCTGGCCGCAGGCCAGCAGGGTGTCTGGGATATCTTTTGGCGTGCAGGGTGTCCCTTTTTGCCCTCGGTCAGCAGGGCGTCCCGACACGTTCGACATTGAGGTGGGAAAGTATGGGAAGGATACGAGCGCGGGATGATGGAGGTTATGGAGATTCAAGGAACCCCGGAGGAAATAGAAGGATCACTTTTTGCCTTTCTTCAGAGACAGGCGAAAAGTTTGGTGGAAATAGAAATTTCACTGGACAAATATCTACCCGGGTTCAGATGCTCGAGCGGAATGCCGAATCTGGAAAAATTGTCGATTACCTGATAGACGAGATGATTTGTATTGCATGGATGTTTTTGGTAAATAAAGTTTCTATAATGCCAGTCATAAGTTTGCTAAAGTGCACTTTAGATTCATGTAAGTTAAAGTGAGTTGGGGAAGAATAAATACATATGTATAACTTATACAGTATAAGTACAAAATTTTGAGACAAATCATCACCCACGGAGGTAGACTACTATAGTGCTTGATTTTTGGGTAAAGATTTAGCAGACGTTTTGTCACCAGGGGGAGATAAGTCAAAAACTCGTGTAACAAACACATGGAACGTCGTAATTAAAAATAAACTGTGAAAATTTTCATCTTACCATATTATTATTTTTTACATGAAATTGAATTTTTTAAAGGCTGGCGTCTCGACTGAAATCAGCAGAGTTTCAAATATCTATCTCGTGACTAAAATTTGCTGACTAAATATGACTGGCATCTACATACATATATTTATCCGGGATGTAATTGTGTTTACTTTAGCTTTAGATATGAATTATATAATTTCAATTATTCAATTATGTATATGTAATTTATGTGTTTATGTATATTACGGTGAAGATATGGAGATACATATGTTTATGAATGTGGTCAGAGAACAATTATAGCCTGGATTATTTACCTTATGCAATTATAATAATAATAATAATAATAAGTTTTATTATACTGTTTTATATGAGCAAACGATACAGCAATGATGAATAAACTATAGAAGGTAACTCTAGTTTACACATTGAACCATTACAGTAAGCAGGATGCCATGTTTCGACAGTTTACATACTCTCTAAGCCACTACTGCAAAATATATAAAATGACCTAAGTAGATATTTTATTACACTCAATTAGACTAATAATGGTTTCAAATTTAAGCTCAATAATATTATTTTCATGACTTAATAAAATGAATTCATGCATAAATGCTTACCAATACACGCATGTCAATGCGCAGATCAATCATAAATTTGATTTACAATTAGTGAATCCTTCACTACATAAGTTGGTATGACGGAATATAAAACCGCAAACAGCACTGCACAATACATAGTCTCAACTTAAAAACTGATAGTAGAGTAGACGGCTATATTAGGTTAGTTTTAAGGAATTTCAAATTTATTTTTATTCCATTGAAAAACCAGTTAAATTTCAAGTAGAAAACACGTATTAAACTTGAAAATATGTTTCTCCTGTGACCATGAAAAATTGGTCATGACAGGAGAAAGCTCTATAAAAAATACGCTCGAAATTAATTGACAAACTGTATCATTCCCGGGTCAGAGATTTTTTTGTGACCCTGACACTTACATGGGGCTCAGAACAGACCTTTTCCTCAATTTTAATCAGTATTTGGTGGTGAAGTTGACTGCGGTTCGAAAATACCAACGTCAAACCCAAACTGCAAACGAAGTCAGAAACATGGATTTTAATCCAGTTTTTCACGAATTTCGCTGTATATGTTAATGTGGAGCCCTTCACAAAGGTCGGTGGGTTGTCATCCAATATGGACTAGTTGAGAGGGTGTTCCTTCTTCATCAGAACGTTTTTCAAATATTTTTTTAAACTATCTCCTTTCCTTAATTAAGGAAATTGGGCGGTTTCTGCTCAATTCCGCCGATTCCCGCCAAACCTATGAATGGAGCCTGATAAGATGACATTTTGACCTCTATTTTGTAATCAGCTAACCCTTAGGATATTTAACATAAAATTTACCTGTTTCTTTGTCGAATTAGGCTTCTGTCGTAAAGAAATTCTTATGGGTAAATGGGGTAATTTTTTTGTTTTTTTTTCGTACCGCTTGGGAAGGGAGGTCAATTTTTTACCCTAGCAATCGTCTGGGAAATCTGTGGCATGTGACGCTTTCTACTCTAAAAGTCCTCCATCTTAGGGTCATTTTTCAGTGCTCATCTGATTTATAAAGTTGTAAGGTCATTTGTATGGCCAAAGTCTCCGGCGTCGGACAGAGATTTGTGCAATTCTGGTGTTTAAAGCGTCGGACCTCACTGTAGTTCTCCTTGACCTTGGACAACCGGAACTTTTATGTCATAGTTAGCCACTGTCTCTAGGGTTAGTTTAATAGTTTGGGCAACCAGATCGTAGTTGCACTTGGACTGCTACACTACATCAAACATTGTGCATTTTTTTCTCGTGCAAAAAGTGAAAAATTATTGCCGCGCGCGTGTAGGTAAGCTCCTCCTACTTTTGACCTAGTGACGTCATGTAAAAACGGTCAACACCAATGATAGGCACTGAATGTATGCACAAACTGCAACTGACCTTTTAATTTTATGTTGACCGGTTCAAAAACTATGCTCTACTATCACTTCTTATGGTAAGACTATGTATTAATAAATTTTTACATGACATGAAATTAGTTTACATAACACGTAATTGTCCAACCCTTCTTTCACGTACATATTGCATTGCCCGCAGAATCTCTCTCTATCTCACCATGATTTTCTCTTGTAATTCAAAACTTCTGAGCAGTGTTAACCTTACCGATATCCATGCTACATCCTGCCACCATTCTGTGCGACAATTTTTTCCGTTATCCATATAAACCGGTGATCAATATCTGAAACTGTATCTAAGTCGTCACAGTCATTCTCTAACAAACCATTTAGTCAACATCGTTCAAATCAGACGATGGGATCTCGTAAGTACAATTATGTACAGGGTGGTTCAAATGTAAAGTTACAACGGAAAATTAATCAATGGGAAAAATTCGTAAATTCCCATTAGTTACCGATTTGCGAGTGAGATTTGTTTATCAAAACTTATTGAACACTGTTGATAAAATTCTTAAAATATTGAATTTCAGAGGCAAAATTTCGGTAACTAATGGAGATTTGCAAATTTTCCCCATTGAAAAATTTTCCATTGTACCCTGATATTTAAACCACCCTTTATATAAATTATATGACATAAATGCTAACCCCGTAGAAAACTTACGAGGGAACCTTTTATAGTGCCCGGAGCTCCCAGCATATCCACTATATACATTAGACGTCCCCGCTTATCTCACTGAAATCTCAACTCATTTATTCACCGATGAGACTGGCATCTAATTTAACTATGTATATTTACAATATGTATGATAATAATTTATTTACTATTTACAAGTTTTCAATATTGTTTTTTCCTTTCAAATATATGTGTTGGAGTTTAAAAACTATGCAAAAAAATGCAGCAACTTCTTATGAATTTAAACAAGTAGAGGGATTTGTTCTTCAAAAAATGCGCGTGAACATTTTGTAACTTTTAAATTCGAAAAGGAAAAAATATTGATGAGTAGTAAATTGTAATTATATTGTAAATATAGCTAACAAGGGACACTCATGACCTGTCGTTTGAGTCCAGGGTGGCCACTATGTTTTTTAGAATCTGCTAGGACCCCAGATGAAGGATTCATTCATATTTCCGTGTAAAACTCATATTTGGCGTCATGCCGTGGCGCCAAATTCGCGAAATTTGAATGTTTTTATTTTTGAAACCGCCAGAACTTTTGAAATCCTGGACGGATTTTAAAAATTTTTGGCAAAAATCATGACAAGGAGTTAAACTTTCGTATTCCATGAAATTTTTTCCAAAATTATCGCTTTTAACTTTTCGAAAAATTTCGTAATTTTCTTAGAAATGGGGGTTCGTCGAAAAAATGCTAAAAATTTCTCAAAAATTAGAAATTTTATATTTTTATTTTTTTCTCAAAAATTTTGACTTTTGTGGTCATTTTAAGCATAAAATTTTGAAAATCCGACATAAACTACAAAAGTTATGAGGGTTTGAAATTGGTCGAAAATGCAAATTTCTAAGTTTGGCGCCACGCCATGGCGCCAAATATGAGTTTTACACGGAAATATGAATGAATCCTTCATCTGGGGTCCTAGTAGATTCTAAAAAACATAATGGGTACCCTGGACTCAAACGACAGGTCATGAGTGTCCCTTGTAAGTTAAGTACCAGTGCACTCAGTGAGTAAATGAGTTAAGAATTAAGTAGCAAAATGAGGAGCGTGTGGCGAAACGTAGCTGCGTTATTGAAATCATGGGAGAAAGTGACCGTTCGGCGCGTCACTAAAATCGTCATCGCTTGACCAAATGTCATTTTGACACAGAGATTTTGTCACATCATAAGACTAGTATTAAAAACTGCGTCTAATGTACATAGTGGATATGCTGGGAGCTCCGGGCATTATAAGAGGTTCCCTCGTTAGTATCGAATAAAAATTTATCGTTTTCCTGGCAACAACAGGAGTCACCCGAGCAACCAACGCACTCCCGGATTATGCCCCATACCTCGTGACCATAAGAGACGCTGACACGCAAATACATATTTGTGTGGGATCAATTATTAATGCGTTCTTCGTCCTCACGGCGGCCCATTGTTTGGTTCGATTGGGTCGTGATGGTAGTGAAAAGCGTAGTTTATATTATGTGAAGAAGGCATCCGAGTTGCGGATTGTTGCCGGTCGGTATAACGTCCAGTGGGGACAGGACACGGAACAATTGCGTGGTATTGCAAACAATTTTGTTCCCTCTACTTTCAACCGGTACGACTTAGCGAATGATATTGGCTTGGTAAAAGTTAGTCATCCCTTCAAGTTCAATGCCTACGTGAAACCAATTCCCATGCCGTTTAGTAATCGACAATTTACAGGTAAGGTTAACATTAATATTAGACAATTAATATCAAAAGTTTCCATTTAAGACGTCGTAATTGTTGAAATACATACATATTTAGTAAATATGTATGACACAATCATACCTGTTCATTTTTATCCTTCATTCAAAATTCCTTCACTTTGAAATTCAATTTGAATTCTTCATTCATTCAATGAATAATTCATTCATTCATTCATTCGCCCCATGTATTTAGCATAGGCAAAAAATGAATGAATAGAAAACACCCTCATTCATTTTGAAATGTTGAATTATTCACTCATTCTTCATTCATTAATTCGGTATAATTGAATGAATGTAAACAGGGATGGACACAATAAGCGTATTCACGTCAACGTTTTATTTTGTTGATCAACAAATTTGAGATTTTTCGAAATAATTATGGGTAATAATTACATGCCAGTTTGGTAAACTTGGCGAGAAAAATTCTCTAATTTTTCAGAATTTTCTTTCAAAATTTCGCATATCTCATTTTGTTGTTATGAATACGTTGTGATGAATATATTAGGTTGGTTACTTCTTTAGGATCCGTTTCAATTTATGGGTATGGAGTAAGTCAACATTCTCCTGGTGATATTTACGAATCGCCAGAGACGTCGCAAAGGTCTGATTTGGAAATTATTACTAATGAAGAATGTACTGGACTGCTTGCCAATCGAAGTTCGAAAGTTGCCAGGTTTATGATGTGTGCTTACTCTGAGCATTCTTCGGTTTGCTCGGGTAATTCCTAATATGTTGTTTATTGACTAAATAATTTACAATATAATTCTAATTAATTACCTCTGAAAATTTCACATATATTTAGGAGATTCCGGATCCCCCGTCGTCTGCCGGGACGAATTCCAATCCAATCTCCCAGAATCGTTTCAAATATCTCGTGACATACTTTGTGGCGTTGTATCCTGGGGGCATGATAAGTGCATCGTGAATTTCTCTAATAAATCCACCGATACACCAGCGCCCTCTATTTTTAGTCGGGTTTCATATTTCTATGGATTTATAGCGAAGACGATTCGAAAAACCGAAACACCATCACATTTCCTGTGTCATAATCTTCAATACGTGTACAAATCACAGGTATGCGATTTTTACCGAGATTGTGACGATGGATCGGATGAAAGTGGATGCAGGGAAAAAGAATCTACGACTGTCTTACCTAGCAACTTATCTGTGTTGACATCCCAGGCCACAAATTTCGGGGGAATAGTTGGGTTAATTTATATTTCGATAGTTCTTCTTAAACTAATAGGTATGTAAATACCAGTGTTGCTTAATTACTGGAATTTGTAATTAATTACTAATTACTAAATTTCGTCTGACGAGAGAAAGCAATTAATTACTCAATTACTGGTTACATGAGTCGAGTAATTAATTACAATTGCATTGCTACAAAATAATCAAAGTCTAATTACTAATTATTTTCTCGATTTTTCTTGCAATTAATTACTTTTCTAATTAATTACTACAACCCTGGTAAGTATCAAAGAGCAGAAAAAAATGTATGACAGGAAATACAGCTTAGCCTTGCAAATTAAACTTTTGTATAATGTGCATACATTGGATATTGAATCCCACATTATGAATTACGTTATATGTTTTAATGAATCTGTGCTGAATACATAATTTTCGCATCCCAAATAAAATTTAATACTGTATTTCCAGGGCTTTCTAATCAATTAGTTAATCTAATTAACTATCTAATTAATTAGCATGTTGAAACTAATTATTAATTACTAATTAACGTAGTGATGAATTCAGAGGTTCATATTTACTTCTTGACCAAATCATTTGTTTTATGTAGTCTAAAAAAGATTTCTTCTGACGATACAAAAAAACAATTTTATTTATGTATATCAACACGGAAGGAAAAAAATTCATTCGTTTTTAGATAGAATTATGAGATTCAAGTAAATATTGGTTTGATACAAATAATACAATACAATTGAGATTCCTTTAATGTGTATGTAGTCATGTCAATCATACATAGATCATCATAGATGCCAAGTAGAGATAATGGATAGTTTGACGTCATTCGATCAAGTTAATCACCTCGTGAGCATTGCACCACTGGAGTCAACAATTTGTACAAACATTATACATGGTGAAAAATACTATGATGGTTTAAATGTCATGCTTCAATGACAAATTTTTCCATGGAAAATATTCGTTAATTTCCACTAGTTACTGAAATTTTGTCTCTAAAATTAAACATTTTAAGAATTTCATTAGTTTTGGTAATAATTAAAAATTCTCAATCCAAAATCTTCATTAACTAATGGATATTTAGGGGGTTTTCCAATGGAAAAATTTTCCATTGTAGCGTGGCATTTAAACCACCCTGTATGCATATTTCTAACACATCAATTTTACCCGAGAAATAAGTACTACATTTATTATTCTGCTACCCTACCTAATTGCAAAAATCGATTTATTACCAAAATTGAAAACCCAACAAATTTCAAAGTTTCTATGACTCAATTAAAGTACATACATCTTTCACGTCATCACAATTGCTAATTATTGTATCAATTTCTTCATCAATTATTTAATAACGACCGGCATGCGTGGTCCCTGCCTCCTCTTCGTCACAAGTAACATGCACTTGATATGCGACGCACACTTCTCCAACGTCATTTGCCGCATTGAATAACTCGGCACTGACCCGCATCGTGTTCCGACACGCAACCTCGTACGGGGTGAGGGTGTACTGGATCGTGTACGTGGTCCCGGGCTGGACGGACGAATTGTCGAGAACGGCGTTGATAATAGTCACTTGGAGGCCCATGTAAATTGCGCTGACTTTGAGGCGCAGGGAAGCTATGGGGATGCTGGGGGTCATATCCCACTGGATGGGGTATGGCGTCCCAGCCCTCATGTAACAGAGTGGACCCTCGCAATCCGTCACCCGTAACTGCCAACTAGATCCAGATCCACCTGGGTTTATGGTAAAAATTTACCGTTAGATAGTTCCCGGTAATTATCTATTATCCTAAATAATTACTTGGGTAATTAATATATTTAATTATCCTAAATATTCTGCAGAATGCAATGAGGGAACAGTGGGCAATAATATATTGCTCCGAGTAAGATGAGTGTGCAAAAATATAGAGAAGAGCCGGCCCAGGAATCGAACCTGGGACCTCTCGATATCCAGTCGAGCACTTTAACCACTGAGCTACCAACTGCTCTCCTCATCTAGGCCGCTAAATTTTTGAGCCAACCTATCCCACTTATATGATAAATATTTTCTCATAGAACTCACGTCAAATTTGTAACCTACCTACCGTACAAAGGGTTGATATGAATTGACTCGGCAACACGTTCCATAAAATTTTTAAAATGAACCAAAAACATGGTTTCGAAATGTGTGAGCAGCTCCGAAAATATTTTCCCTCGTAAATGTTTGTAAGCTTTCAAACCTTACGCATGTACAAGGTTACAAACTGTGACGTAAGTTCCCCCAATATTTTTTGATTTTTTTTACCGCATCGCGTATAATCCACCACACCACAGGACGTTGTTGCCAGGAAGGTTGATAAGATCCAGATTAGCTTCATCTCTAGGAAATTTAAATGAAATTATGTCACGTCGTGTTCGTTGATAAGTGTCTGACTTGACTGAAGCAAAATATGTTCAAATGCGTCAAAATCCAATCAGATAAATGCATCTGTTTGCTCTCAAACAATACAACCAGTTGAAACGTCAACCAAATTAAACAATAAGGTTTGTTTATCTCTCGGTAGTAAAAACAACAATACAATCTCTCCGCAAATCGATCATGATCCTGTGTAGTGTGTTTAATAATTAATTTAATAATTTTATTAATTTAATCCTTGATAAGATTAATCATCCAACAACGTTGTCCAATTAGTGTGACTCTGTTGAATAAAGAGTGCAATAATCGATGCGAGGCTTCCATGACGTAGTCGTCTCCAAAAATCATTGAGTAAATTAAACTGCGTGAAATTTGCACCGGCCGTTGGACTTTGGATTCATTAGCCGATTTAATTTATTATTTAACACCAGTTTTTCTTTATTTTGACATACTTTACTTGGACATCATTTCTATGATTTCCCATATTTTACATACATATGTACCAGGGGTCGACGCTGACAAATTTTCGGCGGCGGCGGCGCCAGTTTTTTGTAATTTTTCGGCGGCGTCGGCGGCGCGGCGTGACGTCGCAATGTTAAAGGAATAGGAAATCAAACTTTTCGGCTGAGGCGGCGCCTAAAATGCTACCGGCGTTCGGCGGCTCTTAGGCGTACGGTCGGCGGCGTCGACCTTTGATATGTACATACACAGCAATATTCATAAATGCCAAACTAATTTTTCGAGACTTGGAAATCGAATTTTGAAATTCTATACACCGATATTGTTGATAATTACATAGCTGCTTAAAAATATACATTTAAAATTAATCGATATGGATAAGCCAATTTTTCCTGATGATTAGCATGTGTTGTTATGGAATTTAAACTATTTGTGGCATACAGTCATTCTCAAATTACCAAAATTTCAAATTACCAAAGACGTCACCTCGACATGGTCTACAATATCGTCCACCAGAATTTCGACATTCGTCCTGGTTTGCTGAGAATTAATTAAAAATATAAAGTTGTGATGTCACTGTTATGACGTAGGCTTTGAAGCTTGCTTTAACAGCTGTGGCCGTATAAGCTGTGGGGACATGTGGGAACATTCACGTTGTATGTAGGACATGAGGGGTGTAGACCATTACACATCACGTAACATGGGAAAATTATGCGGACATCAAAATACTGTGGGGGCAGGACTCACGGGATATTATTCATGCATTATTAAGTAAGTGATGAAACCCATTTATGGATCAACCCTGACCGTCCGTCCGTCCTGGTCCGTAACTTTCGAACGATTCAGCGTTTTCGTCACAAGGGATCAAAATAGTTACCAAGTTCTTCAACGAACTTTGTGGGTTAATTGGTCCCTGTGTCAAATTAAGATCGATAAGTCGAAAAATATCCAAATTTTTTACTCCAACTTTTTAAATTTTTATTTCGACGGTGATCACCAAAATTGACATCATTTTGACAATCGACGTATAACGTCATGACCGTGTGGACGACACAAAGGTCAAAGGCTTTGAACGTGACGCGGTGGCCCGACCAATGTGCAAAGACAAATGTGCAAAGACAAATGTGCAAACGACAAATGTGCAAAGACGTTTGTGCAAATGATAAATGTGCAACCTGACAAATGTGCAGCCCGATAAATGTGCAAACGATAAATGTGCAACCGATAAATATGCAGGAATTTTTCCAACAATTTAGCCTATCGTATAGGCTGGAATTATGTACACATAAAAATTCTAAATTTCAATGAAATAATTCGGGATTTACTTATTTGCTGTCATTTTAAATTCTGTCCCCGAGGGGTGTCCCTAACTAAAGTTTAATTGTCACTAGCTAAATTTAGCATTACATAAATGTAAGGTTAGCATTACAGTGATTCGGCACGGGAATTTTACTATAAAATTGACAGGGGTCAACCCCGTTATAATGATGATTAGTAATATTTAATAAGTATAGAATCTCAATTATATGATCTCCAGCTTCATAAGCTTCACCACAAAATTAATGTTTCAGAATTCTTAGTTTTTTGATAAGATGTAATTTGATTTGAAGTGTAAATTATATCAAGATATATTGCACTATTTGTTGGAAAAATTCCTGCACATTTATCGGTTGCACATTTATCGTTTGCACATTTATCGGTTGCACATTTATCGTTTGCACATTTATCGGTTGCACATTTATCGTTTGCACATTTATCGGTTGCACATTTATCGTTTGCACATTTATCGGGCTGCACATTTGTCAGGTTGCACATTTATCGTTTGCACAAATGTCTTTGCACATTTGTCGTTTGCAGATTTGTCTTTGCACATTTGTCACCCCATCACGTGACGCTGTGGCACGAATAAGATTTGCATATTCGCATGACAATCCATATCAGATTGGCAAGTGCTAATAATTGGACGCAGTAAATTTTGTCCAAAAAATTTCTGCCTCTTATCACTCATATTGTGGGCGATAAAACTCCGGAGGGTGCTCTGCGTGGCTGATGGGGGGTGTAGCCGTGGAGGAAAGAGGATGACCACTCTGAAGGACGCCACACAGTAGGCGAGTAGCCGAGATAGAATAGAGAGTCATTCGCTTAGGAAGGCACCCCAACTATGACACAATGTTTCCCCGTATGGAAAATATGCACAAGTACTCGGATGATTATACCCACAATATGGTATCCGAATTCAGTCACCAAAAGTAGGAAGGGGGCACACACACGAGTTTATCTTTCATAGACAGAGATAACAAACATTTATTACACGTCGCTTTATATTTTTACAAATAGAGTTTATTTTATGAATTGAATGGTGTACGTTAATGGGAACTTAAATCTTGTGGGAACTTATTGGTATATGTGTGTGCGTGGAGGATACGGAGAGAGAGAGAGATGATACTTCTCCCGACGCCAGGTTCTCTCTGCCTCGAATCTTGCAGGGCGGATGGTATTTCTCCTTGCTGAAGGAGACGACGCTACTCCTTGTCTTTGAACACGATGTATGAATAAGCTGGAGTCACTGTCCGGACAGTGATAAGGATGTATGGATATGGAAACGAGATAGATGAGAAGGAAGGATGCATGGTATGCATGATTCCTTCAATATCTTATCTATCCGATACACTCAAAATAATTTGGTAATAAAATTTTCACCGTGTGGTATACATTCTGCACGATTTTAAATTTACTGCATTTGAACCAGTAGTAAACATACCTGTTCACATTCATTCAATTATACTGAAATGAATGAATGAATGAGTGAAGAATTCGTTGAATGAATGAAGAATGAATGAATAATTTAAGGTTTCTAAATAAATGAGTGTATTTCTTATTCACTCATTTTTGACCCATGTTAAGTATATGGGGCGAATGAATGAATGAATAATTCATTGTATACATAAATGATGAATGAATAAATAAATAATTCAAATTGAATATCGAAGTGAAGGAATTTTTAATGAAGGAAAAAAATTGAACAGTATGTATGTATACAGGTGAGGGAGGTTTCAGGTCGGATCGGATAAGCTTACTAGGGAAGCTACCGAGGTGTCAAACGTGTGGAGGGTTGGCACGTAGGTATACCAAAATGTGCAGAAGGTATGACTTTTGACGTGAAGCGAAGGAATTTTCGTGTCAAATTCACATTTCGTCAAGTTGTGACGACTTTTCTGGCGAGCGTATGACGGTGGAGTGCATCGAGTTTAAAGCGGTGGACTCGGCCGCGAAGCGTTGGACATATAGATAATTTGTCAATTTTGCAAATTATACACAATTTTTTCAAAATATTGCACATTTTTATTATTTGAAAAAAATTTTCGATTTGTTACAAAATTTCGAGTTTACAACTTGGCAACACCATTTCGCAAACACTAATTATTTGTGCAAAAAATTTATTTGCAGAAGTTATACCTTGTGCATATTTTGGTATAGGTGTCAACCCTCAACTCGTTTGACAACTCGGTAGCTTCCCTTGTTAGAGTTATCGTGTATACATATATCTATATACAGGCTGATGGGCGGAGTATGTATTTAGGTAAGTACATACGTCCCGGCTCTGGCTAAAAACGCAGTAAGTATGATAAGAGCCTCTCCCTCATCTCATTCATCAGTAGTATGACAAGCACAAGCACCCGCATTATAAAAGGATGGAGTGTGTCAACGTGATTACCACATGATGCAAAATTCAATAACAGATTTAATTAATAATATGATACAGTCACGCCTGATAAATTCCATTGCGATGTTGTAACTAAATCAAGTAATTTGTTTGGCAGAGTGCAAAATTGACCACGGGCTTGTTGTTGGTTGCATGTGATACTTCTTACCATAGGGCGGATATGTATGTTGGTAAATTCCTCAAAATATGTACCTGTGCAACATGATTTTAAAAACATCGAAAATATGCACGTACACAACGTTTTTCAAATGAAATTTTATACTAGCAATTGTAAGTATGTTTATGTTTTATATTTGAGAAGACTCAAATTTGTAACTTTTTTGAGTGATTTATATCCGAATTACATTTAAATCTTTATCTAATGACCAATAATTCGACACCAGTTCCATTTCGAGATTTTCTAGAGTAATTTTTTGGCTAGAAAAATGTGGAAAATTGCATTTGAATACCGTTCACACGAATTGACCATCGATTATCATGACACTATGTTCTGTAATTTTTACATCTTAAGTTCTGAATGAAAAAATATTTGCATAAAAAACCAGGAAATATGTCTTAAAATATTTATATTTTTGAAAAATACTCAAAATATGTATGTAAATTTGTGTATGTACGAAATCCTAAGATATTTATGGATGTCAGTTTACGAAGTTTTAGTATCTATTTATGATCTGGTTTGATATAAAAAAGTTAGAAATTCATACATATCCACCCTATGCTTACTAACCTGAGCTGCGTAGCATGTCTCATTTTCGTGTTCAAGTGTTTAATTAATTTAATCATGTCTTGTATTAGTGATTACTTTGATATTGACTGATGGGTGATGACACAACGCCTTCGTTAAGTTATTTATAATATAACACCCCAACTCGCCAGAGTATTTAAACTCCAACTCCGAACCCGATTTACCCAGTCGTTGCTGTTTACCAATTCCAGCATTTTACTTCTCTCACAAATTTAACGCAACCAACACTTTCGTCATGATTATTGTCGGCTTGTTGGCCCTCGTGGCCTGTGCTAATGCTCACACTGCGGCTTTTGCACGGGGCATGTACTGCCAAGGGGGACCCAATCCAGGTCAAGATGATCAGAACACGAACACCGTCGTAGTACCTCTTTACAACTTACCGAGATCGCAATGGTGGTTCCAAGCCGACCGAGGCTGTGACAGGGTCCCACCTGCGCCTGGTGTTTTCCTTGAGCTGCCCGCTGGTGGTTCCTTCACTGTTGAGTTGGCCCACAACCGGGCTCAAACCACGTTGTCGTACGACGGACAGTATACCTCCCAGTGGCCCGACGGTGGGAACCACCCCGAAGATTGGAAGGGACCAGGAAATCCACCAGATTGCATTCAGGATGACGGGGCCATGCACACAAATAATCAGAGCATGGCTGCGGGGACGGCCTTTGCCATCAGTTACGTGTCTGACATTTCTGCTGTGACGATGGAGAATTTAGTCGTTTTCACAGTTCTCCCCAAGTAAGTAAAAAATTGGTGGCATTTCTGTACATTAGATTAACACAACAAATTTTGTCCTTTCCAGCACCCCATGGAAGCGTATTGCCACCTATGCCGTCCCTCGCGACCTTCCACCTTGCCCCGCCGATGGGTGCACTTGTGCCTGGCTTTGGGTTCCAAAGGGATGCGGAGAGCCTAATATGTGAGTGAATTGAAAGCGATGGGAGAATTTAATGTCATATTTTTATTCGCTGTGTAATTAAAACCGAACGGCGTTGTTACTACTCTACAGGTACATGCAAGGATACAAATGCAGGGTGACAGGCTCCACCTCCACGAGGCGACTTGCCCCCGCCCAGCCTCCCAGGTATTGTCCCAACTTCAACGAGTGTACCCGTGGGGCCAAGCAGATGATTGTGACCCGACGTAAGCTCAGCACTAAATAAAGCAATGATAAGCAATTCAGCAGGAGGATGGGTAATTCATGGATGAAATATTAAATACAGAGGCGGAGGGCAACAATGTGGACATTCCTCAAAATGACTTTGTGTCATACAGCGCTGATTGGGGATTCTCACCAGGTTAGTTGTACATAAATAGTGCTGAATATAAATTATTCAGGACTACAAGTTTGGGGTGATGTATTTCAGGTGCCCAGAACGACATTTTTGTGTAAAGACGAAGATTGGTCGGCAGCCTGCCTGTGGGGTATGGCGAATTTAATTTTTATGAATTGTAAATCTGAACTTGACTATAAAGTAATAAAGTAATCGTTTTATGTTGCAAATTAAACAAAAATATTCTGCTGAATTTAACTCTGAGAGGTAGTTTGAGTACCTTATTAGTTGCACGCGATTATGTATTTGTCAACAAAAATTGCTATACATAAATATACATAAATTCAGGCATGGTTTCGGTCACTCTCACAAAACTCCAAACGAGAACCAAAGAAATCTGGGGTTTGGAAATAAGTTCATATCGCATGCAACTCCTTACAAGCAAAATTACCATGGAGCCATAAAAATAAGGCACTAGCGTGTTTGGGCCAGGCCATACTATTCATTTTACCTCGCAACTCAACAACAGCCAAGACAAGCATCGGGTTCTTTGAAAAAATCATATTTGACTAGTTAATTATGACTAATAACAATTAATGAATTAAATTATAAATTAATCATGATTGTTTGGGTAGGGCTGAAGAAGATACGAGTGTAGGTAAAAAACAGGTTTTGGTTACTGCATTTTTGCATTTTGAATACGTGACCTCCCCTATTATGAGTCCATGTGGAAGTCTTGAATTATTGTGAACTTTGGCCCAAAATCAGCGGCCAATATGCTACTGGACTTCATCATAAATATAAGGTTAACTTGAAAATTTGCAGGAAACCGTGTAGCATTTTTTATGTTTCAATAACCACACCAAATAGTATTAAGTACTGACTTTACTTAAATATACAAATGAAAAATTTTAAAATTCAACATAACGTCGTCAATCAATTGCATCCATGTGTATGTCCATTTGTATGTATGGTGGATAAGTCAGTCTTTCACTTAACAAGACGGTTTTCTTAATTTCAAATAGCGTACATTCGTATTCTGTACCATGTACCCTATTGTAACTTTTAATTCTGGTTTAAAGACACTACAATTATGCACCCACCCAAAAAAGGACCCTTAGTTTTTAACGTACATCAATGAAAATTAATTAAAAACTTAACCCAAACCAATCACCATAACAGATACCGTCCTTTATTTAATGCTAAAGAGGACAACCTACATAATGAATTAAACCAACCACTAAATGATTGATATGACACCCCAGACTTTACTGTTACATAATAAAAAGTTTGGCAAAATCAAATAAAAATGATGTCATAAATTTTTCCCCGCAAATAAATTAGAACCGACGGTTGCACCAGTTTGATCCCAATCAGTACCACAATAAGGATCAAAATTATGGCTGTAAAATTTGACCTAGAGTGGGACTTATCGGCGAAAATAATTATGACAAGTACACCAACAAGGGCAAAAGCAACCATATTATTTCTGAATTCGTCACTCTTAACTTGTCTGGCGTATCCCAGCTGCAACATGACGGACTCCATGTGAGTCTCCATTTCGCTCAAATTGCTCTCATACTCCAACAAGGTGTCGATTAAGGAATTTAATTTCGCAATGTGACCAGACACTTCCCACTCCTTGAGTTTGTAACGGATTGAAAAATACGAGGCAACAATGCCATTCGGGATTTCGAAGGGTGCCAGGATAGGTTTTGTCCAAGCCGTGAGAAACGAGGCAATAGCGGCAAGCCCTTGATTTACAAAGTTGTCACGGAACTGATCCTTTAACTGGGTTGAGAGTAAGATGTCCCTTTCCAAGGTGTGAAGTAGGTAGGCTGTGGATAAAATATATATTTAAGGTGGCATCTATGTATATTATAAGTTAGAAATGTCTGTTGGCAACGGAAGTGAACGTTATTTTCTGAAACGGAAATGAAAATATGTTTGGGGATTTTTTAAAAGTTTTTAATTTTCCGAGTGTTATAAATTCATTTCACTTGCATCGACGTCTAAGACTTTCAGAATGAGAATAATTGTGGTTAAACGCTCGCCCGGCGGTAGACGGGCTTATAAGCTAGTATTTACATAGTATGCGGGTTTTGAGTTGGAATTGTTGTGTCTCAACTTTCCCTTCTTCGACGTATTCAACTGGCGATTTTGAAGCCTGCTCATCTCTTTGAGTTTTTTTTAAATATGAGATTTTAAACAAGTTACTTAGGGTGCTGTGATTTTGATTTTATTCTTCTATGAGGAAGTATTCAAGTTTTACTGATTATTTTTCATCTATTTTATATGTACCTATTTATTTCCTCATAGAAGAAAAAAATCAAAATGACACTATCCTAACTTTGTAAACCTAAAATTTATCGATTTTTAGGTGCAATAAAATTGTCATATTTTAAAAAACTTGCGGAGATGAACAGGTTTCAAAATCGCCGTTGGACGAAGGAAAAGTTGAGATACAACAGCCCCAACTCAAAACCCGCATACTATACCACCTTAAGTAGATAAAAGTAAAATTATGTGTCGGAGTTGAGAAGGGATCAAATTATAGTTTTTTTATGGGTAAAAGGTAAGGTGCAGAAATATGGTAATTATTTTTTCCGAAATTCTTTACCACAAATTATTACCATTCACCAGTAAATATTGGTGACGAGCATACATGTTCATATTCATTCATTTAATGATGAATCAATAAATTGTTCATTCAATATTCAAAATTTTGAATGAATATTTAATGAATATTTTATTCTGATTTTTGAATAAATGAATATTGAGTGAATACCTATTCAATTCGTGTGAATAAATAATGAATGAATATTTTTTTCATCATTCATTTTTAAATTAATGCTTATAACATATGTAGGAAAAGTTGAGAAATTTATCTAATACTGTGAATTTTGAATAACATGAATAATGAAGGAATGGTGAATATTGAATAAATGTTGAATAATTAATGAATATTCTTTTTTACAAAGGATGAATGAGTGAATAAAGTATGAATATTTTGTTCAAGGTTTTCAATGAATGAACTTTGAATGAATAAATAATTTTTGAACATGTATGGTGACGAGTACCGCGAAATATAAAAATTACCTATCCTGTCTTTCGCATCTTTCACGAGGGGAAGCGTGCCCTCCAAGAATTTCAGCAGAAAATCTATCTCCCCTCTGGACGTAGAAATTGAGAAGGATCCCAATTTTCCAGAAACCTCGGCCGACGAGGCTTTAATCTTTTTGATAATTGACTCTATCCTGGTGGTGTCCTGTTTCAGGGTGCGTAACGTAGAAGCTATATCCTCCATGGTGCCAACCAATTTGTCCATTTGATACTTCTGATAAGCCGCGTTTATCACGAGGATCCCCATACCGACATAATTCTGAAAGTTCGATAGTATTTCTGGGGATGCGATTTCGTTGGAAAGTTTAGACGCGATGTTCTCCGGTTGGGCGATTGTCGAGCCTGTAAATGTATTAGATGAATTTTGACTCGTATGGGGCCGTCCATAAATTACGTAACGCAAGAGGGGGGAGGAGGGGGGGTCTAGTGCTCCAATGATATCGTGCCTATGTTACACATCTTAAAGGGGGGAGGGGGGGTCTAGAAAATTTCGATTTTTGCGTTACATAATTTATGGACGGCCCCTATACACTCAAAACAGCCTGGTGACAAATCTGGTGTAGAGTGAACTCTACAACTAGATAAATCATAATCAATTAATGGTTAAGATTACAAAGTCCAACTTTATCAATCTATCTATACATAAATATATCAAGTTATTTTATTTGGACAGTCATAGATGCACATATATATATGTACCTCCTGGAAGGTGATTCACAAGTTGTACGGCAAAATTCCCATATCCGTTAACGATTTGGACTACATCGGACCCAATTTTCTGACCTTTTAGCAGTCCGTTTGCACCGAAGCGACTATGTAATTCTAGCCCAGTCTGTGGAACGACTTAGAGATACACCTCTTTGACTTAAAGGGTGTAAAAATACTTAAATTTGGAGATATTTACTTTGGTATATTGTGCCAAGTGTGGCGGAACTGCGAGTCCGTTGGTGGGTCCAATTTGCAAATTTAATAGCGATATGATGACCAGAATCTAAAAATCAGAGAAAGAATAAGTCATTATAAATAAATATACTTTTAAATTTGCGTTGACGAAGAAAAATGTGGGTTTTTGTGGGTTTTTCCGGGGTTTTTGTAAGATTTTGAGATAGATTAAAACAAAATCTTTTAAACTATAACTTAGATCAATGCTAATTAAAGTTTCGGATTAGTAATGAAATTTTGAGAATTTTCATGTGCGACTTGAGTTTCCAAATATCATTGCGAATTTCCAGATTTACATGTTAAACACTAATTTTCAATTTAATAGTTCAAGTCAAAGACAACGCTTACAATTGCATGCGAAATTAGTTTTTCTCTAACATATAATTTTAGGAATTTTGGTTCAGCCTGCCCTAAAATTTACATAAACCCACAAAAACCCCAAAAACCCCGGAGAAACCCTCGGGGTTGGGTTTTTCCGAACCCTGCCGTCACGTAACAATTTACCCAATTGTTGCCACATACACACAAAAATTACCGGTACAGCCTTGTGAACCCCGGCACGGTTTCACCTCGCCCCTTTTTTGCCTTTGTGTACATACAAAAATTCAAATATTTATCTTTCCAAATTTAAGAAATACCTGAATTGACGCCTTCATTCTCTTAGCCGAGATAGCGACGTGTATTTATTTATGATTGGAAGAAGTGACACGACTGAGGAGAAGGAAGTGTGACACATTCAGTAATAAATAAAAACTACTTATTTCTTGACTTGATAGTTCTCCAGCTCGAGGGAAATGATGTGAGTAAATGAATACCATCAAACAGAAAAGAGAAAAACTGGTTTAACCATGATCTCATCTTGGAGAGAACTGGCAGACCTCCAATGTTCGCAGAACTCGAGAATTAATCATGCAGTCATGGTAAACGAAAGATGGTTGGTTTTGTGGATTAAGTACTATGCACAGATGTATGTATTTCGCAAATCGCACAGACTACATACATAGATACATGCTTGTATACGTATACGGAAAATTGTTCTTGTAGCATGTATGTACATACCTAACGTAGAATGTATTCATTTAGTACATAGGTTGTATGTATGTATTTAGTTTCCTGGCTTAAACGTCATAGGAATATGGTTCGAAGTTGATAGGATTTTTATTGATATAATTGATATAATTGATATAATTGATATAAGATTGTGTGTCATTCGAAGGAATTGGAATGGGTGGCCGTATGTGGGTGGACAATGACAGCTAAAAGTCCAGATTATTTGGGAAATTTAACGCATCTGTCAATTATGGTGACGTTAATTTGGGTACACTCTTAGAAATTGGTTTATAATTATAACCAACAAGTAAACGTATGTGACTCCACCACCGTGGTTATAAATTTGTTATCGAGTAGTTACAATTGTCACCGACTAATTATAATGTTTCGCCGATTTGGTATTAAATTGTCACCAGAGCTAATAAATTTATAACAAAGAGGTGGGCAAATTCATAACCACGGCGGTAGAGTGATATAACTTTACTTTATGGTTATAATCGTAACACCATTTCTAAGTGTGTATCGACTTATATGTATTTATGTAGGGTCGTTTGATTGTATCCTTGGAGGATTTCGAAATAGGGTCATGTCAGTTCAAAAATTCTCTAAATTTGTTTAAAGATTTTAAAGTTTGGGAATACGCGTTATTTATGATTGGAGGGTTTGGTTGTTAAGCAAAATCTGTAAAACGTCATAAAATGACAAGGATTTAATTTAATTGCAAAACTAAAATGGTTATAAAATAATTGAGCTAGAACCGGCGTTTTATAGAATATTTTGCTTGAGAATCAATCTCTCCCAGCAAAAATAACGCATATTCCTACACGTATATGATGTTGACGTGAGGACCCCTAACATGAATATTTTGATATGTGCGAAAATTGTATACCTCAATTTACCCAGCCTCAACGACCCTTGTTTTTGCAAAGTACATTTGTATGTATTTTATTAAAGATTTTGAATACTTTTGTACTTTTACTGCGCTTACTCTTTTCAGAAAACTGCTCTTGGACTTTCCATTTTCAATCAATTCACCTTATCGCAACACGTCAGTGCGGCCGTCCATTTCGAATCTATATTCGTGGGAAACTTTAGAAACAATATTGCCTTAGGGATCGCAGTTCCCAAGTCTTTTGATGAAGATCCATAGGAGATCAATCCAGCGGATAGTTTCCAAGGGGCGTTGTCAGCGAATTGCACACTGAGTTTAGATAGGCAGTTAGAAATATTCTTGATTACCTTTCGATATCTAAAGGGTAACTATCGTTACTTTTTTGGTGAGTGGTGGCTATATACCCCAAATCGGGTAAACTCACTTTCACCTTTATTTTAAGTTATATTTTACTTCTTTTAGGGTAATAATTTTTAAGCGTGTACTAAAAATATTGAATAGTGAAACCTTTAAAAATTACACATTTCGAAATTGGAACATGTACTAAATAAGTCAATTCCAAGCATAAAAGTATCTCCCGCAATAGTGCTCGCTAAATGGGGCATGGGGGATGCACAAAGTAAAGTCAGACAGACAGACAGACTTAATCTTCGCATAAAGTAGCTGAAGATACATGTATCTTATTAAGTATGCGTACTTAATAATTTAAAAAAATAGTGGAAAGATAGATTCTACATATTTGTTGTAGAAAAATGATTTCAAAAGCCAGCACATCATCAAGTCCACCAAATTTCTTTATTCTTTCTCGAATTCTTGCACGTACATATTATTTATTAAGGAAAAGTTCCTGTAATTCCTGTAACAATTTTTCCCCACCCGGGTAAAACTACTCCCACATAACGACCCGTCTCGGTTTAAAAGAAGTCAACTGTTTCTCCTTCTTCCAGAGAGTGGGCCCATCCTTGAGGAAATATTTATCAAAGATCTCTCCCGCTCGGCCGATACGTGTCATCCCTGTGATTCTAATAGATCAAATTTTTATAAATATTTACATGGTAGGCTAAATCCTGCCATAAATGTTTATAGATATGTACAATTCAGGGTTACGCATGCGTAAAAATCCATGTAATGTTTTCTATCTGCATTTTACAAAGCCGTGATTACACGTTATGCATTTCACTTGCAAAATACAATGGGATTATTCATTCCGAACTTGCATGTGCGCAGCGCAACAAATATTTGCCAAAGTAAATACTCCCGCCGACGATGCGTCAATTTGCAGGTAAGATTTTTTGCGAGCTTGCCCCCTTAATTTGTTGCTAACGATACGAGCTCTTAATGAACCCGGAAACATACCTGTTCAAATGTTTTTCCTTCATCCAAAATTCATTCACTTTGAAAATCAATTTGAATTGTTCATTCACTCAATTAATAATTCATTCATTTACCCTAAGTATTTCACATAGGGCAAAAAATGAATGAATGAAAAAATAAAAAACCCTCTCATTCATTTTGAAATGTTGATTTAGTCATTCATTATTCACTCATTTAATAAATTATTCACTCATTCATTCTTCATTTCGTCGTAATTAAATGAACGTGAACAGGTCTGTACGGAAGACATACATAAAAACGCATGAACCCTGGGATGTAATCAGGAATCTCTCACCTGCTGTCTAATTCGTCAGCGCGCTTTTTATCGAACGACTTGGGGAAGGCGATCCCCAAGGAAATATTGTACCGATAGTCTCCCACCACGACGGACTCGAAATGGACGGCCGCCTTAACTTCGGCTGATAAGGTGGGTTGATTGAAAATGGCGAGTCCAAGATCAGTTTTCTGAAATGCAAAAAATATTTTAGTTATTTTCATAAACACGTTTTTCATACACAAATCTGTATGACTGATAATGGAGGTGTCCCAACGTATGCTTACAGATTTGGACCGAACTAGCGTCAATTGATCACAAATATAATTAGTTTGCAATTTGGAAATTGAACTATCTGCCAATGCGCATTTTTGGCGAAGATATTTGCATAAAAGGAGGAGAGAACGCACCCCAAGGCTGGCAAATTTTGTATTTTCCAAATTCGCTGCTCATTTTTCCCTCTTTGGATGTAAATATCTCCGCCAAACATGCGCATTGGGAGATAGTTCCATTTGCAAATTTCATACTAATTATATTTGTGATCGATTGACGCCAGTTTGCTCCAAATCTGTAAGCATACGTTGGGAGACCTCCATTGTGAGACTCGTTCAAAATGGCGAGTCCCAGATCAGTCTTCTGAAAAGAGTAACAGCATAAAAACTTTAATAAAATAAATACAATTCAGAAACAAGGGTCTTTGAAGCTGGGCACATTGAGGTATATAGAATTTTCAATAATTTTTGCACATATCAAATATTCACATTAGTGGCACTCACGTCAACATGATAAGGGAAGAATTCGTACAAATTTATATGCTAAATATGTACTAGCGCACTTTCTTAAGTTTGCAAAAATTCGAGGTAAAAAATATTCTTTGAATAGGTATTTGTGAATTTAATCTGTGCTGGTCAATATCTGTGAATTTCGAGGCGGGATTGAAAAGTCATTCCAACTTTTGTCATTTCAACGAACGATTTCTTAACCTAAATTTTGTTAAAGGGGTTGAACTCATTAATTTTGCAAACTATTGCATACATAAGGTCACGTCAGGTTTACAGTTAACCCTTAATTCGCTGGTAAAAATGAGCCAAGTTTGGCAAACTGGCTACTTTGCAGTGGGTGGTTGAATTTGATGCACTCAAAACAAAACGGTGTCAATATATGACTTAACCGCCTTGGTTACAATTGTGATTCCGAGTAGTATGAATTTTTTCCGTCCGGTAATAACATTATAACTGCCGGTATCAAAATCATCGTAACTCGGATTCAACATTGTAACCAAGGCGGTTAAGTCATATATTGACACCGGCAATGTTGATTCGACAAATTTTTATTTTGAGTGTGGTTTAATTTAATTTCAATCATACATTTCCAGCCAGGTGATCCATTATCGAGTTATTTGTCCAAGTTCCGGATTTGAACCGTCCAACCGAACTGACCTTCGTGATTGTGCAATTGTCCAGAAACTTTCCGTCCTCGTCTGCACTGCGCAAGAGGTCGACCAAGATCCCGGAGTAGCAGGGACTGTGGCGGCAGGACGACTTGGCCACCGCTTCCTTCTTTGAGGAGAGGCACGACGCGTTCGAAATTACCCAGGGATGGTCCTGTCATGTAAGGACATATTTACATCAATTTACACAAGTGAGGAAATATGGGACATTGTAGTGTGAGGCTTGCTAAACATTAAAGGGAGTGAAAGTTTCGAAATTTCTGATGGAAACCTAATCCCCAAATCCTCACACTTCTGCAGGGACTGTCTATAGTCCCGTTTGTACTTAAGTTTGTATAACCGCATGTTTTGGATGGTGTTAAACTTTTTTCTTAAGAGGCATTGATATACAAGGTCGATTTATATTGACAGAAACGTACGTACTTCAATGGTAGAAATCCGTTTTATTTGCACGATATCTGCAAGTCATAAATTCATGATGATTTATTAACCCCTCTAGCAAGTTTTTGGCAGGAATCTGCACCAACCTCCACAATAAGTTTTCCATTGAAGCATCACCGGAGCCGTGTTGGGTGGACATTGGCAGACTCCTTGCAAACAAGACGTGTAATCGAGTGGACATCTGAACATTGTGGAATTACACGGGGCCCCGTAGCCGGCAGGGTGTCCGCCTGGAAAATCCAAAATGTATAAATATAAATTTGCAAGTTTGCAAACCACCTGTTGCAATGTTGCTCAAACACGGCTGTAGTTTTAACAAAGTGTTTTATATTTTTTTGCATTTTTTTTGCAACAACATGTATATAATTAATTCTGCAAAATTGTGACAAGTGAAAATCAGGTGAACTTCCCCTACCCGGTAATGTGAAGTGATAAATGATTTTTAACCTCGGGGACTTTTTTTAAACAGAAATAATAGATTTATTCCATACTTTAAAGTCCGATACGTTATTTGGCACGTTTCGACATAAATACACACACGATTTTCAATTTTACCAATTTGGTTCTTCGCCAACGATGTTGTATGTATTTTTGACATAAAAGAGCAAAAGAATCAAAATTAGCCTTTAATACAATCTGGTCTGGCTATTTCTACCTGTTGGTTGAGTAGTCCCATAAATTTCAAGTAAATGTATGAATATGTACTAAATGCATATGCATATGTTTCTAGTATATAACGACTCATTTCGCAATTAAACTAGTCGGAAACGTTTAACAAACGAAAATAAAATTTCAAAAATACTAAATTCAACCATAAACCTGCCCACCACCTAAATAAAGAATTGCGGTGAACTTCTCTAGTCGATATAGGCCAATTATTCATTGGAAATTTAGTTACCTGCGACTTGAACTGCCATTATGCTGACGATTAATACACCAGAAATTTTCAACATTGTAAAGAAAAATGGTATACGTACACTTCTGTAACTTCTCGCCATGCCAGAAGCCTACTGACTTGCATATTTTCCCTTTCATAAGGTAGTATCAGTGGCGTTCATACTAATTGTAAGCTGACAAATTAAATACGTTCGAGATTGAACCGAGCGATATTTCACTCGCATTATAATTTATTCGGAATCATTTTCCTTTCTAAATAAGTTGCGTGATTGTTGGAAATAATGCATATCCGTCCAAAATCGACACGAGATTTGGAAATAAAACCGATTCATATTTAGTTTCTGTCATGAAATAATTAACAATTGTTGGAAATACGAAGTGAAATATACTACTCAATTTTAAATCGTGACTAAAGAGACACGCAAATAGGAACGCAACGCAAACACTGTGCTTTTATTCTGGAATAATTTTGATTTTGAAATTATACCTTCAGATAAGTTTCAGCGTTGAAATGTGATTGCCGATAAGGACATATGTAATAGAATTTATTTCACTTATCATCGCATCTGCATTACACAAATTACACATCAGATTATAGAATTTATATAACTGGTGTTTTCACTGTACGAAATAATTTTATGAGTGCATAAATGGATTGATGGCATGGCGTTCAATTCCAAAGTTTTTGGTGGAAAAATCCTTCACATATGTATACTTGTATAAACTGACATGTGCAATACATATGCATACTTCGCCATGTACATAATTTAGTTTCTTAGTGCATACTATAAATTCCTTCCAATATGAACTTTGTATATGTATGTATGACACATCTAACGAACAGCTATCCAATAAGCAACTAAGGTGTGACCAAAATAGGATCTCTCACATTTCTCATAAATACATAAATCTGTGTGCAGGCTGGGCAAATGAGAAGTCCTGTTTGAGTTCAGTGTTTTATGTAATTTTATGATTATGACCATATTCTTATTTTTTGTAAGTAATTCAGATTTTCACTAAAGTTAACCATTTTCTCAACTTTGCCAGCCAATATGCTCAATTTAATTTGTCTATCTTGCTCAGTAGTTTAAGTTCAATTCTTTTTCCAAGTCCAAATTACACACTCTGCTCAAGTCCATTTCTACAATATTCGTCCTTTTTGTACTTTTCCATTACCTTGAGCAGTTTTCTAAAAAAGGAGATCATTCATCCCTTCTCATCGTCATTCTCTTTTGGCATGTACCTTGACCATGTCACTTTTTCACTCAAGTCCACAAGTCTCAATTTCGCCCCATTTTGCAAATCAATATATTTTTAACTGAAGTAAAAGTGACTCTTTAATTGTGGTAACTTGTGCTCATCATCACGACTGGTGATTCTCATCTCCTACTCATTATCCACTCATTTATCCCTCGCCTCCAGGGTCAGACAGCAACATTTCCATTCAACGGGTTCATTCACATGAATCTCTCCAAGTTCTGAATTAAAAAATTTAAATTTAAAAATAAGTTTTGAATGTTTTGAAAAATACACTTTTCCCATGTATACTTCAATCCGTTCGACTTTTGACAAGACTTTTGACACTTTTGACTCGCTGTTATCAGGGAAATTTACCCTGATAACAGCGAGTAGCTATGAAGTTATCAGGGTAATTTACTGTCTAAGAGGGTACAACAACGGAACCCTTTTTGACTGCTGCTAATTCCCAGAGTTACTTAAGTTACTTAAGTAAGTTACTTATTTACGTTATTTAAACCTATGCATAGGTTTAAATAACTATTTAGCTATGAAATGGTATTATATTTCACTTCGTACGGCCAACAATTGCAAATTATATCGTGACAGGAAATGAAAATGAGAAAGTCTGTGTATATATTATTTTCGTGGAGCACGCAACTTCGAAAGAACAGTAACTGATAATAGATTTTGGAACGGAAATATCTCTCATTTCAATCTCAGAACTATTTTATTTGTTAGCTAGACATGAACCTGACTGATATGGAATTATGGAAGATAAAATGTGCAAGTCAGTAGACTGCAGAAAGGTCTCAAAAGTGCACCCGTCTTCCGCATAATGTTGAAAATCGCTGGTGTATTAATTGCCAGCATAACGGCTGTCCTAGCCGTGTCCTCCACAGGTATTTGATTCAATTTCCAGTGACGTACTAGCCGGTTGGTGGACGTTTAGCTTATTTTGGCAAAGAATTTTGGTGTCTTAAGTATTTGGAATTCGGACAGTTTGGCGAAAACCCTTTGCGCAAAAAAATTCGTCAACACAAAATCTATTTTGGCGAAAAACAAATTTCGCCCATTTTCAGGCATTCTTAGTTCAAAGTTTTTAGAGTACCATTTGGCGAAAATTTGACATTTATGTATTACATTAAGTATTTATGCAACTAAATGTTTCAGAATAACTTGTACAAGTCGATGAAGCATTAACGACGTGTTGTTAAAAACATTTCGTGTACTTGGGAACACACTTTAGTGCTGTGAATGGCGCTGCAGAAAATACAAAAAAATGATACAACAGTGATGCATAAATTGTTTAGAAAAAACCATCCGCGTCTTATGATTTAAATAATATATCTTGAATTATTTCATGTTCTCGCCAGTGGGATCCGATGCCGACTATTTGGCCGCTTGTAATTCAACATCAAGATGTCAAAAGCGGGGAATGTTTTGTTGGGAAGGGGTCTGCCAATGTCCGCCCAACACGGCTCCGATAGTATTTCGAGGGCAGCTCCGTTGTCGAGGTGGGTGTGGATGCGTTTTGGAAAGGTTAATAAATTAAATGATGTTGACTTTATGGTTTGCAGATATCGTGCAAATAAAAAGGATTTCAACGATTGAAGTAAGTACGTATCTGTCAATATTAATCTACCTTGACATCTGACAAATTTAGTCAAAAATGCCTCTTGAAACAAGTGTATCACCATTCGGTTTTTAAGATATGTACCTAATCCGAAGTACAAACCGGACTACATAGATACACTCGCCGCGGAAGTGAGAATTTAGGGACGAGGTTTCGACCAACCAGAAAAACAGAAATTTCGAAACCTTATCTCCCTTTAATGTTTGGCAATCTTGTCCTGAAATGTCCCGTATTTCCCCATTGATGTAAATTTATGTAAATATGTCCGCACACGACAGGACCATCCCTGGGTAATTTCGAACGCGTCGTGCCTCTCGTCCAAGAAGACGGTGGCCAAGTGGTCCTGCCGCCACAGTCCCTGCTATTCCGGGATCTTGGTCGACCTCTTGCGCAGTGCGGACGAGGACGGAAAGTTTCTGGACAATTGCACAATCACGGAGGTCACTTCGGTTGGACAGTTTAAATCCGGAACTTGGACGAACAACTCGATCATGGATCACCTCGCGGGAAACGTATGATTTAATTTCATTTTATCATCAAATTCCCTCACTGCAAGTCAGTTTGGAAAATTTTAAATGACGAACTGACTCCCCGTCTAAGCGCAAATAAACGTTCAACGTTTACGAAATTATCTAGGTAGATCGTTTTAGGACTTGTTCAACAATCATCTATAGAATGATGTCTCTCATTGTTTGCGGAACCCGAATTTTTCGTCCCAGATCAATTTCACCTAGCAGCTTTGTAAACTTGGCAGAAACCGTAGGTCGATAGGCTTGGGAGTGCTACCCCGGGGTAGTGTGGGTACAAGTTCACCCTGTGATTCAACCTTGCTTTGATGGCAAACAAATGTTTCTTGCAAAACAATTAAAATGAAGGGAAATATGCTAATTTATTTTGAGATTTGCGAACAAGGGTTTGAAGTGTGGACAGTTGGTTACCCATATTAAAAGGTTGAAGTGTCCACCCTAACCTCGTGTTAGCGTGGACAGATGTTTTTTTTGATTTCTTTTCAAATACTTTTTATTACCTTTTTGTAGAATTTTACCTATTCTAGTAGTAAAAATTGTTACACAATGTATAGTTGATTGAATTATTGATATGTATTGATTTGTATTGTTGATTGATATGTATAGTTAATTGAATTATTGATTCAATTATTAATTATTTTTTTAATAACTTAATTCATAATGAATTATTCATTGAGCATTTAGAATAATTAATTTTACAATACAAAGATATAGTTCCATATACATCCGTATTTTTCTCAAAAGTGTCCATACCGACCCTACATACACGTCATTTGCAAGTAACATGAATATTTTTGTGTGTGAAAAACGTGTTGGTGAAAATAACTGAAATTTTTGCATTTCAGAAAACTGATCTTGGACTTGCCATTTTCAATGAACCCACCTTATCGCCACACGTTCGGGCGGCCCTCCGTTTTAAGTCCATATTCGTGGGAAACTATGAAAACAAGACTGATTTAGGGATCGCATTTCCCAAGTCTTTTGATAAATGGCACACTCATGATTTGGGTGATAGGTGAGATATTAGTAATCACATCCAACAAAGTTTTTTTGAGTAGGGGGCAGGGTATTCAACCCCCGGATGTTGGGGTTTTGGGGTAGCAAATATGAGCAATACGCACGGATAGTCTGGGTAGTCGGGGTTTTCAAGGTTTTCGATTTTAATAAAATATGATAACCCGGCATTACATAATAACAATTCAACAATTTAATTAATCATTAAAATCTAATTAAAAAGCAGCTTTGTTGCGAAATACTGAAAATCAAGATCCATAATTTAAAATTAAAAATTTTAAAGTAAAGTAAAGTTTTTAAAGATAATTGTTTTCACAACTGAATACATGAGTTGCTGAGTAGGTTTAACCCCAAATCCCGGACTACCCCGACTACCTGCAAAACCCAGGTAAAACCCATGGGTATGGGTTTTCAATAGCAAACCCCTGGGTTCTCCTTACCCTGGTAGGGAGGTTCATGTATTTTCGTGTTTTTACTACTTTTTACAAGGAATATGTTAAATGAAAAGCTGGCGTTGTACACAAAAAGCACAAAAACATAGAAAAAACATGTAACATGGATTTTTTATAACTCATGCGCAACCCTGGATTGTATGGTGTCGCATGATTTAGTCTACCATTTATAACAATGCGACCTTCTTATTAGACTTCAGCAAGTTCAAGAGTCCGGCCGGGCGGGAGAGATCTTTGATAAATATTTCCTCCAGGATGGGCTAACTTTGTGGAAAAAGGAGAAACAATTGACGACTTTTAGGCCGAAACGGGTCGTTTATTGGTTGTAGCTAATGTACTGGAAAAATGCTAAAGACATTGTTTTCAATGTGGGTGGGAAATTTCCTTAATTGAGAAAAGTTCGCAGAAATGTGAGAAAAAATAAAGAAGTTGAGTAGATTCACTGATGCGCTGGTATTTCAAATCATTTTCATATTCCAAAAGGAAACGTTCATAAAATTCTGAATAAACGATGGGGGCAAAGGTCGCCTGTCTCTGACATGTTAAAATTCTTAATTGGTGCTCATGCATTTCTATAAACTTGTAATAAATACATTTATTACAAATAAAATAATCATAATCATAAATAATCACTAAATGATTATTATTAAATGTTTATTAATTATTATTAATGATTATTATTATTAATGATTATTAATGATTTATTATTTATTATTAATGATTATTATTATTATGTAAATTCATGATTTTTAGGTGAGCCAAGTTTTAAGAGGATGATTCAGTGTATGTGTAAAGAATTCGTAATATTAATCATACCTGTTCACTTCGAAATTCAATTTGAATTATTCCTTCATTCTTCATTCATGCATGCATTCATTCGCCCCATGTATTTAGCATATGATCAAAAAATGAATGAATAAAAAACACATTCATTTATTTTGACATGTTGAATTATTCATTCATTCAATGAACTATTCACTCATTGATTCATTCATTTCGGTATAGTTAAATGAATGTGAACACGTATGTATGACACATTTAACGAACATCTATCTAACAAGCATCTCGGGCAATATTATCTGACACTTTAATATCTTTCAATACTTATGTATTATGGGGCACCACCACATAGAAACAGTGTCAATTATGTAATCGTAGCATCTAATGTTATGGCCAAAGTGTGGATCTTTGACATTCCTCATAAATAAATCTGTACGCAGGCTAGGAAAATGAGAGGGGAAGAAATGCGAGATGGCGTAAATTTGCAAACTAACAATGGAGGTCCCCCAACGCTCACAGATTTGGACGAAATTAGTGTCAATCGATCACAAATATGATTAGTATCAAATTTGCAAATGGAACTATCTTCCAATGCGCAGGTTTGGTGGAGATATTTGCATCCCAAGCGGGAAAAATGCGCAGCAAATTTGGAAAATGAAAAATTTGCCAGCCTTGGGGGTGCGTTTCTCTTATTTTTATGCAAATATCTCCGCTAAACTTGAGCAGTTCCATTTGCAAATTTCATATTAATCATATTTGTGATCGATTGACGCTAATATGGTCCAAATCTGTGAGCATACTTTGGGAGACCTCCATTGTAAGATAAATATATGTACAACTGCCATAGTTTTACTACTGACAATGAGCGTGAACCCAATCTTGTCCATCCCCTGCACTTTACGAGTCGAATTTCATAAATGGATTTTTTTCATAAAAATACTTTGCTAAATAAAATGCTTTTATGGAAATGGATTTCCCAACAGGAGTTCATTCGCAACGGGATGTAATGATTTTCTGCAAACTCTTATAGACAAGACCATTCTGCACAGCGGCATGATACATACGTATTAATTTACTTAAATTTCCAATGGAAATATTACTTGCGTGTTCAATGTGTTATGATAAAGATAATTAATATTTTGAGGAGAGGTAAAGCTTGCTGAGGTTTTACTCAAAATCAGACACATGCCAGAGTTGTTAAATTGTGTTAATCAAAATTTGCTACCGAGTTGACGATGAAAGAATTTTGGAAATTAACACGAAAGAAATTTACACCCGCGTGACTACCCCGTATTATTTGCAGTGTACATACATATTGGCATTTGATACTTTTTTGCAAGAAATATCGGGTGCAATACAAGATCGTACCATAACAAAATTATTCTGACAATGTTCATTATTCTGACATTAACTCAGCTAAAATATTCCCAGGCCTGCTCTTTTCAATCTCTCTCAATTATACCTGCGTCATTAGCCACTTACAATGGAGGTCTCCCAACGTATGCGCACAAATTTGGACCAAACTGGCGTCAATCTATCACAAATATAATTAGTATGAAATTTGCAAATGGAACTATCTGCCAATGCGCAGGTTTGGCGGAGATATTTGCTTAAAAAGAGGAGAAACCCACGAAAAAGCTCTGCAAATTTTTAGTTTTCCAAATTTGCTGCACATTTTTCCCGCTTTGGATGCAAATATCTCAGCCAAACGTGCGCATTGGCAGATAGTTCCATTCGCAAATTTCATACTAATTATATTTGTGATAGATTGACGCCAGTTTGATCCAAATTTGTGAGCATACGTTGGGAGACCTCCATTGTTAGTATGCTGAATTATTTTGTTTCTTTTCGTTATCTATCATGTATTTCCTCTTAAGTGGAACTGCGTTATCTTAAAGTATGCTGCGCAGTAAGTTGAGACTTAAATGCAGCATTATAATTTTTTGAGACGCAACTTCAAGGGCGTCCAGGGGTATAAAGCGTTTTTTTCTAAAATGACGAAATTCAATAGAAATCGGGCTGAAAGTAAAACACTTGTGAATCGAGTTTTTCAAAACTAAAAAAACGTCGCCCAACGTGACTCGAACATGACGTGGCAACACTTCAAAACGGAAGTTTGTCACAAAACGAAAATCTGCGTTTATATTTCGAACTATTAGGATGACAAAAAGCGAAATTCAAACAACATTCGAGGCCACCACTCGTCACAGCCACCCCCAAAAAAGTGGAAGCCGTAAAAAAATTCTTCACCACGAATCCTTCCGGATCAAGTCCTACGGAAGCTAGGGAACTGAAAATCTCAAAAAGCTTGTTGTGCAGCATTTTAGTTAATCAACTGGGGAATACAGAAAAAATCAAACCAAGTCTGGGAAAAAATGTTTGGGACTAGAAAACCAGGGTGCAAAAAAGTTGCAAAAAAACCAGTCGACAAATGTCATAAAAAATAATCATCGCTTGTGACGAGACCTACATACGTCGACCCTGATCCCTTAAAGACTTCGAAAAGCACATTTTTTCACTCTGGCAACCCAGTGAGTGTAGATTATCAACAGAAGTTGTACATGACATCTAAATTCCCTTCAAATTCCAAGCAAGGCTTACATTGAGACAAATAGGCTTAAAAAAGAAAACCCTCCAAACGTCCCTATTTGCAAGAAATCGAAAAGATTTGGGCCTTATGGAATAGAAAGTACTATAACCTTCGCTATAAGGCCAAAAATCTGGAAAAATTCGAACGTTAATGGCGAAAAATCATAAGGACATTTGGATTTTCGAGTGAAAATCGTAAATTTGAGGATCGTTGCGGAAAGTCTGATTGGTGACTATGAATGAAGAAAGACAAATCCTTCGAATCAAAAACTGACATGTCTGGTTCCCACTAACAATTTACGAAAGGCTTTGCAAATATCTACCAAGCAGGTCGAAATGCACAGGTCATTGAGCGCGGTTCCACTTAAAGGAATATGGATAATAAATAAGTCTCAAACTGTTTACGTTTATAAAATGAAATGTTACTATGGAACTCGTTGTGGTGGGTCTAACTTGAACAATGATTATCAAAATTTCAAAGCCAAGTTGTTGAATTATACAACTTTAATAATATGTAATCAATCAACTGCCAGCTTTTCATGAATCTGTCAGAGCCCATTTCCCAGAAGATGAAGTTGCTGGTATTTAAAAATGCTTGACTTGTGCTGGGGCACGTATTGCTTTCCTATTTAAGGAAAATATATTGCCATTTTTGTTCAAGTCTTTAAATTAGTCCTGAAACAGCTAAATTACAGATAATTTTCATATTGAACCCGTAACGTGGGGAGATTGAGAATGAGTAATATTTCCAATCTAACTTACAGCCTGGGAGTCCTGATCATTTTATTAGCCCAAGGTTAAATGACGAGTTTATCATTTTTAATCTAATCGACAATTTTCTACCTTGCAGGAAAGATCTGAAAACATTAACATATTTTAACCCATATCTATATAGAGATTTTACAGTAAAGCTGAGGACCCAGAGTTAAACAAATTTTCTAGTTAGATGGAGGAATTATTTGTAGACGTGCTATCAGAGATAAACAGTTTTCCGCAATTAAAAAATCCACAAACTTCTTCATTGAAATAATTAAATCTTCTGCTTAAATGAATGCATACATATATCGTTTTGCATGAGCAATGCGTTTGTAAAACATGGTCAGGATTGTATGTACGTATAATGATATAGGTATGTAGTTAAGGTTAGGCAATCTTAAGTAGATAACAAATATGAAGTAATTTAATGCAGATAAGGTCAAGATTTGGAGGTAGATATCGAAATTTGTATACATATTATCGTCAATTTCACCATCTTTGGTTTTCTACAAGTCTGAATTGAACATAATTAATAAATATGTATCAATCCAAAATTTATTTTATAATTAATATTAATCAGATCATTGATCCTACGCCAGAAATTTAAATCTCGTTTGCCACTCCTTCTCATTTTTGTCGCTCAAATTTATGGGGTGAAGAGAAAAAGAATGGCAAATCAGATTTACATTTCCGGCCTGGGATCTGATTAATATTTGCAAAAACCCCAATGTAAATAATTGTAAGATCTACTGCAACCCATATAAATTAAAAGCGAAATATATTTTCTAGGATGCCAGGCTGACAATTGTGCCGGTACCGAGGTCACCATAGAATGCCGCACCTACAACCGGTCTCCCGTCGGGGAGATTAAATCATTATCCGCAGGATCTGGCGGATTCAGGAAGTGCACCTGCTCTCGAAGGTTAACACATGAGGAACGTACCCTGTGCCGCTGCAACTATTATATCAGTGGCTGCACCCGTCAACCATGTTATACAAAGGTATGCGATTACGATTGTGAAAGTGCGATGTACGAATGTCCACAAGACATCAAGAACGATTTGTCCAGCGGCAATAGAACTGATTACGAAAGGTGGGAGACATATTGTCCTAAACCGGGAACCCCACTAACCCACAATTAAGCACCATTCAGCAACTTGTAAAGGATATTTGCGCTATTCCGATCAATGAAGTGTGTCAAACTCCAAGGTCACGTCTTGATCAAATTTTGCAGATCGCCGGAATCAAAATACCCAAGCTAACTTGCAAGGAACAGTACGTCATTCTATGTCAACAAACTTGAATAACTACCAGCCTGCCCATTTTGAATTGATTTATGTCGTTGATCTACATATGTAAAGGGCATCCCATATGTAAAGTGCAGATGGAAAAACGGCCCTCATTTTGTTGTAATTCAATTTTGTACGAAGAAACTAAATTTACACAAAAGCTTAGGATCTGTATGTGTAAGTTTGATCGTTAAACCAATTTCCTATCCCATTGTAACTTAAAGATATAAGGTTCTTCTGAGCTCCGCCGAATGGTCGTTTTCACGGTTTTTCCTAAATGTCCTTTGCAATTCTGCTCCATACTTTCGAAATCTAAGAACGATTGCAAACTTTTTCTCTCGTTTAGAACATTGTCTTCGACAATTGGCCCAGAAGTTCTCGATACCACGTGTTTGAGGTACATTTTTAGCGTTGTTTGATTTTTGTGTATCTCATCCAATGTGTTCGGGGGCATGAATAACCAAGGTTTTCTTTTGAAACATTGTCTTTGGCTTTAGTCTATCTTCGCATTTTGCATCTACTGGAGTAGTTGCTTGAAAATATGTACGATCGTGAACATGATCAGGGTCAGTGGTCACTTAGATTTCATCATAAAAAACCACGAGTTTGCTCAACCCTTTTTTGGAAATTTGTCTGCATGCTGTTTTAGCTTGATGGTGCTGGGTCCATACATTTTTCTTTGCCGATTGCTTTACACAGCCTTTATACCTAAGACGTGAAGTTTAATTCGACATATCGTTGAGTTCGATATCTTTTGTGTTGTGGATACGGCAATCATGGAAATGCGGGACGCTTCTTTGAGAACATCCTAATTTTCTCGATATTTCTTTTAGTCGACTGGATAACCGTCTGACTTGATATTTTTTTGCAATTCATGTCACCGGCAAGCCCACATCTTGTAATTATTAGGTCGACAACGAATCTACGTTTTCCTTGCCTGGCGACGTAATCAATCGTCTTTTTCTAATCACGCCGATACGAATTTTCGTGCGAGTGAAAATCGACACTTCCGAATTTTTGAATTCCGGCTCGTGTAATGCATAGACAAGATTTTTTGATGAAATCTGAAATCAGTTTTCTTAATCTACATGACATTACCTAAAATATGACTTATCTCTGATCAATTTTTTCCCGCCCGTACCCTTAAAATCAATGGTTGACCGAGTTGCACCTTACTTTTGGGATGCCCTTTAGTTACTTATATGAATTTGGACTTTACAAAAACAATATTTCTAAGTCTCCTTTCTTCAATTGTAATAACAATTCGACTTTAATCAAATCAAATACATGAAGCACACATTAGTGATGATATGCATTTATTAGGCATGGAATTTTAATCCATCTGATGATATAATAGGTATTATATTTCACTTCCTATTGCCAAAAATTGAAAATATCGTGACAGGAAATAAAAATGAGAAAATCTGTGAGTATACATTATTTTCGTGGACCACGCAACTTAAAAAGGACAATAACTGATGATGGATTTTGGAATGGAAATATCTCTCAGTTCAATCTCAGAACTATTTTATTTGCTAGCTAAACACGAACCTGACTGATATTCAATTATGGAAGAGAAAATGTGCAAGTCAGTAGTCATCGAGAAAGGTCTCAAAAGTGTTCCTGTCTTTTCGAACAATGTTGAAAATTGTTGGTGTATTAATTGCCAGCATAACTGCAGTCCTCGCCGTGTCCTCCACAGGTATTTAATTCAATTTCCAGTGAGGAACTGGGCGGTTCATGGTACACAAATCTCGAATAGCGGAGTTGTTTGGTGGGCGAATGGCTTACATATTTTGGCAAATAATTTTATGGTATTTTATTTATCCAGCTAAATGTTTTCACGTAACTTGTACAAGTCGATGAAGCATTAATAACCTTTTTGTGTTGTTAAAAACATTTCGTATAGGTAACAAAATTGAGTGCATTACATTACGTAATGCAATTCACTACGTTTATGTTGTATGTATGTATGTATAAGTCTAAGTACATGCAGTACTACAAAATCTGTATCTACTCTCAATGGCGCTGCAGAAAATACAAAAATTGATAAACCACTGATAAATTGATTAGAAAAAACCATCCGCGTCTTATAGTTTAAATTATGTATCTTGAATTACAATACTTAGTTACTTAATTATGAATTACTTAATTATTGACTTGTACTCGCTAGTGGGATCCCATGCCGACTATTTGGCCACTTGTAATTCCACATCAATATGTCCCAACCATGAAGTGTTTTGTTCCGAAGGGGTCTGCCGTTGTCCGCCCAACAAGGCCCCTGTGATGATTCGATGGGACCTCCATTGCCGAGGTGGGTGAGGCGACATTTTGTTGGAGACGTTAATAAATAAATGATCTTGACTTTATGGCTTGCAGATATCGTGCAAATCAAACGGATTTCTACCATTGAAGTAATTACGTATCTGTCAATATCAATCGACCTTACCAATAGTGACACTTGCCAATTATCGTTAATTTTCCTATGTTAATTTTAGGAATTTCTCGAATTTAACCGTATTACCAACTTATTGTCTCAGACTTTGATGGAGAATATGAAGTCAATTTTGAAAAGCTTTAAACAAGTCATTTAGGATGGCCCCAGACCACAGTTATTCCCATTTCTTCCTTTTTTTCCATTTTAAAAACTATTTTGGGTGGGTGGTAAAAATCCTTTTTCCCTATGCCCGGGTCAATTTGGTTTTTTGTAATTGAAACCCGGCGATTTTCTCGTGTCAACTTTTCACCAAGTTTAAATCAAGTCAAGATTAAATGCCTCACGCCATTTAATGGCATTGAGCATATATTTCAAATTCCCATTTAATTTAGTAAATATTACAAGTTATGTGTAAGATTCATTTAAATATGTCCTTACATGACAGGACCATCCCTGGGTAATTTCGAACGCGTCGTGCCTCTCTTCTAAGAAGGCGGTGGCCAAGTCGTCCTGCCGCCACAGTCCCTGCTATTCCGGGATCTTGGTCGACCCCTTGCGCAGTGCGGACGAGGGCGGAAAGTTTCTGGACAATTGCACAATCACGGAGGCCACTTCGGTTGGGCAGTTTAAATCCGGAACTTGGACGAATAACTCGGTCATGCATCACCTAGCGGGAAACGTATGAGGATTATTTTTTTCCACTAAATTAACCCAAAACAAAGCAGTTTAGTGAATTTTAAATCACGAATTAACCTCACGTCTAATCAACTTTCGACGTTTACGAGATTATTTAGGTAGGTCGGTTTAGGAATTGTTCAACAATTATTTGTGGAAGGCTTTGTCTCATTGTTTGCGGAACCCTAATTTTTCGTCCCAGATCCGTTTTACCTAACAGCTTTGTAAGCTTGGCAGATACCGCATGTGGATAGGGTGGGGGTACTACCCCGGGGTAGTGTGAGTACAAGTTCATCCTGTGCTGCAACCTTGATTTGATTTGGAAGTGAAGGAAAATTTGCTAATTTTTTTTTAGTTTTGTGAAAAGTGTAGACAGTTGATTTCTCATGTTAACAGGTTAAACTAACCCCGTGTTAGCGTGTACAGATGTTTTTCAAAATTTATTTTCAAATATTTTTTACTACCAAAAAGAGTTATCTACGTACGTTTTTAAAATTCTATTCTAGTAAAATAAAGTTAATTGAATTAACTTAATTCATAATGAATTATTCATTGCGTAATTATGTTAAAATAATGAATTTTACAATACAAATATGTACAAGGTTCCATATAGTAAAAGATTTATATTTTTCTCAAAAGTCTGTACTGACCCTAAACCACATCTGCAAGAGTCCCAGTAACACAAATTTTAATGAATATTTTTGTGCATGGAAAACGTTGTTGTGAAAATAACTGAAATTTTTGCAATTCAGAAAACTGATCTTGGACTTGCCATTTTCAACGAACCCACCTTATCGCCACATGTTAGGGCGGCCATCCATTTCGAATCCATCCTGGTGGGAAACTATAGAAACCAGGTGGCTTTAGGGATCGGATTTCCCAAGTCGTTTGATCAAGAGCGAGTTCACGAGTTGGGCGATAGGTGAGATATTAGTGATTACTACTCGTTTCAAACTTTCCATCCACCCAAAAGAGCTTTGGGGCGGGCACGTCGACGTCAAAAAAGGCGTCCAGGCACGACGTCCACGAAGTATATTTATTAGCTGAGTAAGCCGAAGTATCCTATTATTTAACACCAGTTTATCTTGAATTGAATAATTTGAACGTCAAAATAAAATAAATTGGTGTTAAATAATAGGATAATTCGGCTGACTCGGCAAATATATTTCTTGGACCTCGTGCCTGGACGCCTTTTTTTGACGTCGACGTGCCCGCCCCAAAGCTTTTTTGGGTGGATGGAAAGCTTAGAACGAGGGGTACATACATCCCAAAAAGTGTTTTTGAGTATTTGATTTGTAAATCCACGCAGGATTGAACTTTTAAAGAACTTGAGAATTTTGAGAAAGTACGTCACTGTCAGTCAAATTCTCAAATTTCCCCTCAGCATAAGCAAAATTCTTCTGAGACTGACGGTGGCGTATTTTCTAAAAATCCTCAATTTCTGTAAAAGGTGAATCCAGCGTGGATTGAGAGTAGGGAGGTCCATGCATTTTCGTGTTTTTACTGCTTTTTGCAAGGTATACCTATGTTAAATGCTATGCTATGCTATGATGGGGTGTTATGTAAAAGGCACAAAGCATGGAAAAACCTTGCAAGATTGATGTTCTTTTAAAACCCATGCGCAACCCTGTGTCGCATGATTTAGTCTACCATTTATAACAGTGCGACCTACGTATTACATAGACTCCTGCAAGTGAGCGATCACGGACGAGCGTGAGAGATCTTTGATAAATATTTCCTTCAGGATGGGCTCACTCTGTGGAAAAAGGAGAAACAGTTGACGAATTTTACGCCCAGACGGGTAGTTTATTGGTTGTAGTTTAGTGGGAAAATGCTGTCAATGTGGGAATTTTCCTTAATTGAGAAAAGTTCGCAGAAATGTCTAAAAAATAAAGAAGTTTAATAGATTTAGTCATGTCCCGGTTTTTCAAATCATTCTCATATTCCAAAAAGCAACGTTCATAAAATTCGTAACGCGGGAAAGGGTCAAAGATCGCTTGTCTCTACCATGTTAAAATTCCTAATTTATGCTCAAATAGCTTTCCATAAAATTTGTTCATTAGAATTATCTTAATTTTATTTCATATTCGAATTTGTAGTACAAATCGAGTGTTTCATTTACCAACATACGTAAACCCGAATTTATCCGTTGATAAAATCAATACCCTATTTATAAGTGGAATGATAAGAGCAGATACTACACTTTGATCTTACGCAAATTATCGAGAAGCCATTGCTTCTACATAGACTTTTCGGCTAAAATCAATGTGTAAATTTATGTGTCACTACTGTCAAGTTTTTATTAGTTTGTCTAGAGTTCACACAACTCTTACCCCAATGGAAATCAGCATTAGAACTTTCCTTAGCTCAATAGTAAAACTAGATATACTAATTTTACCTTCACGGGCCCGAAAATGCCTTTAAAAGGCTAATTCAATAAATCTTATCTTATAAATATACTGATAATAAAAGATTAATAGTATTATCCAACAATAACAAGTAGAACGTGGTCCTCGTATCCTTGCTAAAGTGAAACAATACCACATTTCCAATTCCCACCGGAACTTGCAACTTATTCACCGACTTCATCCTTCTTTGCAACCACTTTCTCCTTATCCGAATCCTCACTGAGGAAGCAAGCTTTCCTCCTATTTCCGCCAGCACTCCCGCGGATTTATTCGTCGCTAAAAGAACGGCGTAAAATCCTAGGTGCAAAACCCCATACGCGGTCAGGTTTGTTGTCGGGAAAAAAGCGAAAAAGTGCGGTGGGAAGACGTGATGCATTTTTAAACAGATAAAATTATTGGTTAACAACACAGTAAACATGGTGAATAGGACGAGTGCTGAGAAGTTACTTATCATTTCATGCTCATGCTTAAAACTTAGCCGAATCCTATCGTAGAAACGAAGGACGTCTTTGTAATCGGTAAATTTAGAACGTTTCTTGCACTTGAGGAGGTTAGAGAGCTCGTTCAGGTACGAAACGTAGGCCAGGATGCGCATAAAAAGAATGACACCGACACAGCCAATCATTCGGAAACCTTCGAATGCACAGAAGAAGATATTGAAGCATCGGCCCAGGAGAGTAGGTTTAAGGGAAGGGTAGCCTGGGTTTTGGTAGCGGTAAGGATGATCTTGTAGAGGATGTTGGGGTTATCCATACCCGTGAAGAGGAGGACAGGTATTATTATGAAGGGAGTTAAGGATACTTGAAGCATGATTTGTTGGAGGAATTTTATCTCGAGACGGAGCCGGGTTTTGGACCGTGGTAATAGAATTGTTCCGGGAGTTGATGATTTCACTAAATGAAAAGTAAGATGTCAAATTGAAGATTGCTACATGCCTGACTCGGTAACTATTATACAGTTGTAGTTTTGGAAGGTATGTGCAAAAGGCAGCCTTTTGCTGCATCTTCATGCCTTTTTGCTTTTTCAACGCTTTTTGCCTTTTGATGCCCTTTTGCCTGTTCCATGCCTTTTTCTCGATTTTTGACGTTTGAACCCGATTTATTGTAGTTTACGACGTATTAAAGAAATTAAAGAATATACTATATAAGTATTAATGTTTTCGAAATAGTATTGTAGAGTTCTGGCTATCCTCGATACTTCAAATTGGTTGAATACATTTCTATATATGTACCTATGTATATTTTTAGGGTTTTTTTACATCGTCATCAGCTGACATCGTCAGCTTAATTAGTCGAATTTTAGGTTAAAGATTATATTTGGGAAAAGTATAAAAATCGCAATAAACAACTTTCACTTTAATTTTATCTCAAGGTTTGCGTCTTATCTGCCCCAATTAGCAAAGGAACAAAAAGGCAAAAAAGGCACCCAGTTTTGTGGGGCAAAGTAACCAAAAAGGGCACTCCCTGCCTTTTTGCTCTGCACACACTTTTTGGACAGTACATGAAAATGTAATCCAGTTGGATACAATCTAGCCTTGAAAAGCTATTTACCTTACCTCTAATCAAATCATTGCGGTCCTTTGCCAGCTGGTTTCCTGTATACGTACATTCCTCCATCCATCGCATTGCCCCAAAGCCCGTCAAAGTGTGGAAGAGGGAGAGAAATGTGCCGAACAGCGCCATCATAGTACCATTCATTATGGTACTAATGGAAGGCACATTGGTCTTGGAGAAATTGGCCCAGAGGAGAATGCCGATGGAGGAAAGAAGGAACAAAACCATGTTCGTGGGAACGACAGCTGCCCAGACGCGATACTGGAAACTGTCTCGGCGCAAATGAACGAAGGCTTTGTCTCTGGGAATAAAGTAAATCGGAAATCGCCAAAGGTAGCGAAATCCTGTCATGTAAGTTTGAACGATGGGCCAAATATTGTAGATGTCCATTTCGTATAAAGTACTGTTCGGGAATGAGTACGTTAAGGATTATGTACGTTAAATGCGTGGCAATAGTTTAGGATGTACATATGTTTCCATATAACCTGAAGACACGTGGGGTCACTAATTATCTATGAGGATATTTCACTTATATAACTGAATGTAAGTAAGACAAATTTTGCCAGGAAGTTGGAATAATATAATTTAATAAAACGTGGTCTAAGAAACAAAACATCCTTATCATCAACATTGTATTTAAAACGTTGTCGGTAAAAACATCCGTTTTTGTAGATTTTAAACCAAATTGAATATTCCAACAGTTAAGGGGAAATACTCATTAAAATTATTCTTTTCCGGCTCTATGTATTTATATAATTTAATTTTTAGCTAATTTGCCTTAAAGTCTTGGAAAACATGATATGTAAGCTAAATGAACAGTTTACATAAACCGTATTTCTTAAATATGCCGAGGCTAATTTAATTTGTGTAAAAGGTACTATGAGGTTTTCTCCCCATTCGTTGGTGAAGTTTAACTTTCCAACTAATTGATAGGTACATGTAGGTTTTATTTTGCAGCCCACGGCACGCACTCAATTTACAATATTTTCGTTTAGAAATCGCATGCCGCAAGGATGCCTGATGACGTATTTATGTACATAGATATGCATAAGATAGAAGCTGAACTGAATTAATATTTAGACCTCCGAGCAACCCTGAGGACGAGGCCATGGGTCAAAAATGCATAATTGTGAGATATGTACATAAGTGATTTGTATGTTGATTGAGCTTCCTAAGTTATTACAGGTACAGTATCAACTTCCGTTTTAAGTCTTGCATTGAATTGAAGTCTGAATAAGCAATGAAGCATGGAAATACACAGATTTGCACATGTTTATTTATTTGTTAACCTTAATTACTGCTCAGAAATTGAAGTTACACAAAATATTTATGAATTTAGCTAACAGAAAAGCAGTGTTAAAAGAGTACATTTTGCTACAAGCTAAATAAATAAGTTTATATTCAGGATGAAACCTGAATAGTAAATGATTTTTGAACCACCGCATGACTCAATTTTCCTTTAGTCAAGTTTCACAACATCACTTCATCGTTGACAAAAGACCCTTGGAAGTTCATTTATTGATTATTATTTTACGACTTTTTGTGTCTGTGCAATCTTGCTCACTGGAGTCTTATAACACGAGGAACTCTAGTAAAAGCAGAGTGTTTACTCAAAAGGTGCCGGTGTGGTGCTCAGTGGAGATATTAAATCTTTGCAAGGTACGTCTCCAGAACCACCATGCATTCTACTTGCTCAGACTAGTTCAAGCTATGTATAAATACGTGCGCTCCGTTCAATAGCCTTATTAGTTCTTCTTTCCATTTCATGCAATCATCTTGTCTCCATTGCAAGTTTATCATCACATGAATGAGCATTTTTACAGAAATGTGGCGTGAAAGTTTTCAGGCATCTATGAAACTTCTCGCCTGAAATAGACCTCTGTACTCTTCAAGCAAGGTATCCTCCCAAGGTTAACTATTTCCCAATTTCGGGGAACTCCAAGGCCTAAAACTTGCAACGCATTTTTTTACCCGACGATTGCATTTCACGAGTGAAAGTAGGTTTGAGTGAGGAGCAGATTGCGGAGAAAGTTTGTCCATGTGAGCCGAATGCACGTGTCTACAGCAGAAAGTGGGACTCATTTTATTTACAGCGGAGAGATACCCGGGTAAGGAAAACCCGGGTTGAATATCCCATCCGTCCGTCCCTCTATCGGTTAGTTAGTCTGTTTGTTCGTCTAGGGAACGTCCATGCATTATGTACGTCATCATTTTATTGGGTAGGTGGCAGGGTTTCGTTTTTCCCGTCAGAAACGATTTTTTACCACGGCAGGTGGGAAAAAGTGGTAAAAACTGGGAAAAAAGGTTTTTACCGTTCAAATTGGGAAAATATGGCTGCCCATGTCTTTAGTTATGAGAAAAGCTAACTTCTTTAATAATCAATATTTTCGGAATTGGACTTCATATTCGTCATCTCCACGAATTTCTGAAAATTTTGATATGTAATACGAGGGGCCATTTTTATTTAGATGGCCTGACCATGAAGGAGCAATAAATTTGGGGTACTTGCCATACTACTTTTCAGTGTAGTCCCCTACGAGGTCAACATTCTTGGTCCGCTAAATTTCAAATACTTTACCCCGGTTTTATGAAGGGTTTTCGAAAAAAAGTCAAAACTGCTGACTTCACCTCATCAATAGTCGAAATCTCCTCCCCCTGAGGTTTTTTTAAATGTCGAAATAGGTAGTAGTCACTAGAAGTCAGGGGTAGACTGTATGGGGAATGAAATAATTTTGACATTTTTTGGCTCGAAATGACATCCAATTAACTTTTGGATGTGTGACCCGAAAAGTTGTAGTGAGCGTTTTCGCAAGCCACGCGCTTTTGTTTTTCTCGTTTCTCCACAACGGCATGGATTAATTTTTCGAAATCGCAGCATAATAAGCACCAGGTATCGCCGTTTTCGGGGCCGCTACGTCCAGAACCCGAAGTCCTTCTGACTCCCAA